TGCTGGGGCTCCAGACGGTGGCAGTGGATACACGACGTGGTAAGTGAACTGTACCCTTAGAGCTCAAATGGCAAATTTTCTATTACACATATTTTGTCTCAGTAAAAAGAACGCAGAGGGGAAAAAAAGTTCTGACTGAAGATAAACCAAGGACAGAAGCCCGGTGGACAGGGTGGCAGGATGCGGTCCCTCCCCACGGGCTCTCTGCAGCCCTCACATGGCTGACTGCGGGAGCGCGGAAGGCCCCTGGATGCCAAGTGGGAGAGTAGGTGGCCTGGAAAGAAAGCAGCTTTGGGGAGAACTGGTGAAAATGTGTTTGGGAAGGCTGCCAACATCCCTGGACTGTGCTGCCAGAAGTGATCTATGAGCACAATTTGCGAAACTCGACCACCTTCAAAACTTGGTAACAGAATTTGCTAGCTTCAAAAATCTTTCCTAAGGAGAGTTTTCGTGGGTCTTTGAGACACTTAAGACGATTGAAAATGTTACAGCTTCTGGATGTTCTGTAAGAACAACTGTGTGACATCAAGAAAGAAGGGAATGACTCGGCCAAGCAGAGTCAGAAAGGGTTTGCAGTCCCAGTGGATGGAACTAAGATGAGCACCGCTGATAAACGAGCCTGCTGGATCCACTAACGTCTGCGAGATATTCTTCTGAACTACAGCAGCCACTGAAGCCGAGTGCAGGGAAATAAACAACCCTTACGGCCCACCTGGGAGCTCTGGGGGTGTAGTGCCTAAGACATCTGACTGCCAACCAGAAGGCTGGCGGTTCAAACCCACCAGCCACTCCTCAGAAACCCAAGGAGGAGTTGCTATGAGTCAGATCTGACTCGACGGCAGTGCGTCTGGTTTGATTTGGTACGGTCCACCTGGGACACAACAAAGAGCACCAGCGACTCCGGCCCAGTGGGGCGTACAAAGTCAGCTGACTCCCATGTAACAATACTATTATCCGCTCCACAATTTTTTGGTAAAAGCAGAATTCTTTACGGAAGTAGAGCGCCTCATCTTCTTCCCGCAGATCAGCTGGTGGGGTTGAACCACTAACCTTCTGGTTAGCAGTCAAATGCCTCATACGTTACACCACCAGAGGTGCTTTTAATTTTCACAGGAAAAAAACAAACTCACTGCCATTGAGCTAAATCCGACCCATAGTGACCCTTCCTTGGGTTTCCAAGGGGATATCTCCACGAAAGGAGGTTGCCCAATCTTCCTTCCAAGGAGTGGCGGGTGGGTTTGAACCTCCAGCCTTCTGGTTAGCAGTCAAATGCCTTAGGCACTACACCACCAGACAAAGCTCAAACCACACCTACTGCCATGGAGTCGATTCTGATTCACAGCACCCCCAGTGGGCAGAGTGGAACTGCCCAACAGGGTTCTCATGGCCGTCAATCTTTACGGAAGGCGACTGCCTCATCGAGGACCTCCTGTGGAGCAGCCATTAGGTTTGAACCACTGATACTGATTACCAGCTGAGTGCTTTAACCACTGTGCCACTGGAGCTTCTTGTTACACACACCTCTTTAAAAAGGCAACTTTGGAAATAAGATGCAGTGACCATGTTTAGGACAACAGACTGTACACGTCAACTCAATCAGTAGCGTGGGCCAAGCGTGTGTGATTCTAGGCCAGAGATGCTGCAGTGTGAGTAGATGACGTGACTGTGGCTGCAACGAGCCAAGCCCAGGCGGAGCTGGTGGGTCCAGAACCTGCCGGGTAAGGGATTCTCATCTTCAGGCCTATTCTTTCCACATCTCCAGGCCGTCTGTAACGATGATACACTCCCCGTGTATCACACATTTTAAAAGAGAGCTCCTCCCGTGCTCAAAAGAAACTAAATTCTAAACAACCAAATGTTGCTGAACCTTGACTCCGAGCCATACACAAGCTGAATTTAACACCTGAGAAGGTGGCTGTTAAAGCTGAGAAACCATTAAGGATAAGCAGCACCCACGTACCACTGAGTAAGGTGTCCAAAGCACTGCACTGTGAGCAGGGACTTATCAAGGATAATGGTAAAAGAATTTCAACTTCTCAATGGTCTTCGTTTTTAGCAAAAAAAAAAAAAAAAGGTAACTTTTCTTATATTTTTTCTTAAAAAGTCAACGTTAGGCAACAACACTCCTATGCCTGTAGGTGGGCACTGAGCCAGCCTCAGATACCTTCCTCCGCCTTCAAGGGGATTACTTGGCACCCACCTCGTAATCCAGGGTAATGTTCCATTTCAGAGCCAGTTAACTGGCAGCCCAATCCCTTTTCCATGGGACCTCTGATGTCCACAGGTCCCCCGGATTAGCAAGTGGCAACACACTGCCCACTGCAGCTTCACCCCAACAGAGCCAAAAAACACAGGTATCTGATAGATTTCCTACCTGTCAAGTGGAGTAGAGACTGACACAACTAACCCCATGAACTTCGAGAGCCGGCAGTGCTGCGTCCCGTCGCACACAGGGTGACCCTGAGCTGGGAAAGCCCCAACAGCACCTAGCAACAGCTCAACTTCAAACATCACACAAGAAAGCCCCTCTGAGCGCCTTTTCTGACATGCCGTGTGTTTCACGTGGTAACCTGAAGGCTGTTCTCCCCACTAAACGTGACGACCGTCCTGTCCTCTGGAAGGTTGGCGTGTTCAGCTGGAGACTCAGGTCTGTGTTCTGTCTGGAGCCGACTTTTACCCGAGTGTGGGGTCTGACCGAGACTCGCGTTCTACGTGTGGACGCCGATCGACCCCACCGTGATTGCTGAAGACACGGATACACACAGTGACGTGGACGAGCCCAAAGGTAGAGCGAGGGAAGGGAACCATACCCACAGGCTGCGTGCAGTGTGACTTAGGGAACGAGCAGGCACGGGGACAGAAAACAGCTCAGTGACTGCCGAGACTGGGGCGGCGGACCTGTCAGGGATGACACGATTCCAACCGCTGATCACAGACGTGGTCCCATAACCGCCCACGTTTGTCAAACTCACAGACCTGCACGCCTCCACAAGGTGTACTTTCCTGTGTGCTAAATTACTCTTCAGTAAACCTAGCTTTAAAAGTGATCAAATGACAAGATGAAAAAAGGTGTCATTTCTGGCTGGCAGGCTCCTAGAATTTCTGCACCCAACCCAAGCTACACAGCGGAATGAAATGGAAAGGTGGGAAACCAAACGGTCACTTGCCGGGGCTCTGCGCCCAGCTGCCACTGTTCCTGAGGAAGAAGGGAACGGAGCCACCAGTATGCACTGAAGCAGGCGCTCTCCTGGGGCTAACGGGAGCGCTGCAGCCGACCTCTCAGGCTGTCAGCGCCCACGGGAGTGGCTGAAGCCCACTGGGGCTGGGCCTGGAGGAAGCGTTCCATGAGCCACAACTCACCTTTGGAGTCGGCATTGGGGAACAGCCTGTTCCACGGCACCTTATTTTTGTGGGGAAGAGACAACAAGTAGTTCCGAGCTTTTAAATTTATGATACAGTTCAGGTCTTCCTGTGATGGCGATCCAAGAATGCCTGTTGGAGGAAACAAGGAGGTATGAGTATCAAGGCCCAGGTCAACCCTACACTCTCCGTCAGCGGTGGAACGAATGAAGCCGGGGCACTCAAGTCCTCTCAGCAGTGCCCAAGGCGCCACCCCCTCCAGCGAGTTTCCCAATGAGGAGGATGAACCGCCATGACTATCGCAGTAAGAGTTGCTGGAACGTGCCTTCGTTCAGCAAGGTGGCTCTCAGGGAGGGTGAGCCTTACCCAGAATGTGGTTGAGCTGGTCCAGGTAGTGCTTCCCAGGGAAGATGGGCCTGTTGGAGAGCATCTCGGCCAGGATGCAGCCCACAGACCAGATGTCGATGGACTTGGTGTAGCCCTGCAGGGAGAAAAGGCCGGGGGTGCATGGACGTTACACAGCCCGCAGGCCTTCCTGCCTGGCAGGCACAGGGCAGGAAGAACTTTAGCTTGTCCCTTGGCTTTACAATTCAGAAAACCACAAATATCAACAGTAAGAGGGCTCCATTGTAAGATCCCCGGCAATCAAGATTCCAAACCACACCCACTGCCATGGAGTGGATTCCTACTCACAGCACCCCTAGAGGACAGAGTGGAACTGCCCCAGAGGAGCTCCAAGGCTGTCAGTCTTCATGGAAGTTGACTGTCTCCTCTTTCTCCCTTCGGTGGCTGGTGGGTTCCATGTGTTGACCTTGTAGTGAAAAGCTGAATGCCTTAACCACTGCACCACCAGGGGTCCTTGTAACCAAGATGCCCTGCTTTTACTTCCTCCACCAACGGTGGCCGTCTTGTGACTCTGATGGCATTTTGAGGCACACAGCACCCCTTTCTTCTCGTCACTTGGGAAGAAGCACTAGTATCTTTGAAGGCTGGAGCTGGGAAAGAACACGTCATGATGCCCATCCCTTCAGGGAATTTAGGCCTATCTGCGTCTCTGGAAAACATGGAAATCAGCTAGAAAGAAAGGGCACGGTGATTCTTCTAGAATATCCTTATCTGTTTGTAGATCATGTTCAGAAAAAAGGCCAACAAGCCTTGATTTCTAGAAATAGAGTGTCCCGGCTCCCTGGAGTCTCACCAACTCGTTCACAAGGTTCTCACCTTCTTTGTCTACTCAGTTTTCAGGTACAACTTGTGTTTCAAGGGAGTCCTGCTGAAAGGAGTGGTGAGACCCCAGGGAGTCGGGACTGGCAGGTCTTCCCAGCAGGTCTTCAAGGTGGCCTGGAGAGCCCTACACATCCCTGGAGCCTTCCAGACTCTAAGCCGTTGTTTACCTCCACTCCTTGTTTCCACAAGGGAATGGGATGTTTCTGTAGGATACGTGATGTGGGATATCGTCCATGACATAAGAATGTTTGGAAGACCGGCATCACTCGGTGAAGAGCTGCTTTCCACATGACTCACGCGTAATGTGACAAAATCACACCTGAGCCTATGTGCCACGTGGGTGTTTACGAGACAGAGGACAACGGTTCCCTGACAGGGTGACAAGGTCCCCAAAATAGGAAACCTTGAAGAAGCAACCTCTTGTGGAGTGCCAGTGTTAGATCTAGACGAGTAGCCACAGGTAGTGGAGAGGGTCATGCCAGTGAGCCCCTCTCTTGTCTTGTCCATGGTCTCTGTTGGGACAGGTGTTCTTTACCAACTTCATGCAAAATAACCCACCCTAACAGGCCAGGTGCAGAAGCCAAGAGGACAGTCCAGATGCTTCCAGGAAGCAAGACTGGCAAATATACCAACGATGTTACTTTTCTTAATAAAATGAGGCTTCTTTTTTTGTGGAAGATAAAAAGCTCTGAAAAATATCTGATTTGTGGAAACACGTAATAGGTGCATTATTTCTTGCTAAGAGATTGAAGGAAGTCTCACGGCCAGAGCCTTTGAGAGCTGCTTTGCTGCCTTAGGTTCTCCCGACAACTTTCCCGCAAGTTGAAAATTCTATCCAGATCCTACTCAAACTATTCCAAACCATAGAGAAGGATGGAATCCTCCCTAACTCATTTTATGAAGCAAGCAAAACCTTGATACCAAAACCAGGCAAAGACATCACTCAGAAGAAAACTACAGACCGATATCCCTCATGAATATAGATGCAAAAATCTTCAACAAAATCCTAGCCAACAGACTCCAACAACATATCAAGAAAATCATTCATTATGACCAAGTGGGGTTCATATCAGGTATGCAGGGATGGTTAAAAATTAGAAAAACAATCAACACCATGCACCACGTAAATAAAACAAAGGAGAAGAACCACATGATCCTATCAATTGATGCAGAAAAGGCATTTGATAAAATTCAAAACCCATTCCTGATCAAAACTCTCAGCAATATAGGAATAGAAGGGACATTCCTCAACATAATAAAGGGGAGCTCTAGTAGCACAGTGCCTAAGGCACTTGACTGCTAACCAGAAGGCTGGCGGTTCAAACCCATTAGCCACTCCTCGGAAGGAAGATGGGGCAATCTAGTCCTGTAGTGATATTGCCTCGGAAATCCACGGAGGGGTAGCTATGAGTTGGATCCGACTCGAGGGCACACAACAACAACATGCAAAACCAAGAGCCATCATTATTCTCAATGGAGAGAGACTGAAACCATTCCTCCTGTGAACAGGAACCAGACAAGGATGCCCACTATCACCACTTCTATTCAACATTGTACTGGAAGACCTAGCCAGGGCCAGAAGGCAACGAAGAGAAATCAAAGGCATCCAGATTGGCAAGGAAGAAGTCAAACTATTCCTATTTGCTGATGATAAGACCCTATACCTAGAAAACCCAAGAGACTCAGTCAAAAATCTACTGGAACTAATTCAGAGATTTAGCATCGTGGCAGGAGATAAGATCAACATCCAAAAATCAGCTGGATTCCTCTACACCAGCAAAGACACTGCTGAAATAGAAATAAGGAAATCAACACTGTTCACAGTAGCTATCAAAAAAAATAAAATACTTGGGAATAAATCTTACCAGGGACACAAAAGACCTCTACAAAGAAAACTATAAAAAACTACTTCAAGAAACATAAGAGATCTATATAAATGGAAGAACATCCCATGCTCCTGGATAGGAAGATTGAACATTGTGAAAATGTCTATTCCACCCAAAGAAATCTATACATTCAATGCAATCCCAATCTAGGATCTCATCAATATTCTTTAAGGATATGGAAAAACCAATCACTAACTTTACATGGAAAGGAAAGAGACCTCGGATAAGCAAAGCACTACTGAAAAAGAAGAACAAAGTAGGAGGTCTC